TAAAATTGTACTGTTAAAAAAAAACTCATATATATAACTTTTACAATATGTCAATATATGCATATGGTTTAGTTTTTATTTAAACTTAAGAATTTCAAGCTCATTAGATTTAATCTTTGTAAGGCTTACATGTCTCGATTATTTCAAACGCAACTCGCAATTTCTTCCTTTGGTGTTTACGCTTACAATTAACAATATTTTTGCTTAAAATGATTAAAACTGTGTTCGTCTGAAAAATATATATTGTAGAACTCGAACTCGAATGATTGGTTGAAACAAGATCACTGATTGACGGTTGGTTGGTTGTTGCTAATAAATGTGTTATATCCTTTCACTACAAAATTTCAAATTAAAGTCCTTGTTGGATAATCAAATCGAAACTACAAGACAAACTTTCGTCAACGCAAAGATTTATGATGCTACATACATTCACTTATATGCAAGTAGCTATTTCTTCTTTTGATGAAATAATAAGTTCAAGTGTATCATATACCAATGATATATATATATACCGTAGGATCATTTATGGGGACTTCATTTAATTGTATTTTCTTCATTCATTTTGTGACTTCATTTATGTAAAATTTAGCGTCGGAAAGTCGCATGTAATATGTTTGTGCTTACATGCTCTGAAGAAAAAATATAGTTGGCCATTATGACAAAATTATTTATTCTAGATCTAATATAAAATACCTTTACCCGGTAGTGGAACATTCTGTTTTTGTCAAATACTGATACATCTTCTTTTTGTTAAAATACTCTGATATGAGCAAAATCATTGCCGCTGATTAAAGGCTTCTCGACTTTTGAAAAAATAAATAAACATAGAACATATGTGTTTAGTGATAGAACGAAAGAAGTAACATTATAATGATTCAATCATGAATTCACATATAAGATACATAATTCTCCAAACTATTATACAATAATACAAGTAGGGTTAGAATAAGCAGGCGTGCATCCAAAAATGAGCTCGACCTTAATTAAAGTTGGTTTCTCGATGGAATTAGCGAATACAATAATTCCTTCCTAGCTAGAAAACATTTCTCTAGAAACAAAAACGCAAAGAGGGG